TTCCAATGACAAAAACAAATAAAAAGTAGAAGTCATGGAAATACTACAGAGGCATTAAAAAGAAGACAGAGATGCTACACCCTATGGATGTGACCCACAACTACTCGGCTACCCTGGTCTTAAGTCTCCATAATTTCCTATCAGAGGTCATGTCCTCGGTAACGGCTAAATCCTTCAAATCTAATCTCAAGCACTCTAACCACTTCCTCCTTGGTCGTCCTCTCCTTCTGGCACCCTCGACTGTAATCAACTCTACCCTCCTGACCGCATCCGACGGTTGTCGCTTAATGACATGCCCAAACCATCGTAGTCTTCCCTCCCTCAATTTTTCGGATACAGTCACCACCCCCAAGGACATCCTAATTGCAGAGTTTGGTGTCATGTCCCACAGAGTCCTACCACATGCCCATCGAAGCATTCTCATTTCTCTCTTCTCTCGTTTAAACAAAGAAGCAAATGAGGGGGAGAAAGCTAGGCAAAACTCATTTTGGGCTTATATAGTTTGCCCTAAACGACACCGTTTAAAGGGATAAGAGGCTACGTGTTGTGTAAAAAGGGTCTAATTGCACTATAGGTCCCTCTGGCTTTGAAATATTTTATTTTAGCCATTAAATGAAGTCTTATTTTATTTGTTTTCGAGCACTTTATTTTCAGTTCTTACGTTTTAGTCCTATTGTTCCATGTTATGTTATTATTGTTAATATTTGATTTTGGCCACTCTATTTGTAATTATTTTATTGTGGTCACTGATCTAGTGTTGTGTGTATTTTTGTGGATGTTGGAATTTGGTCGCAATATTTGTAACTTTATCATTTTAGTCACTGCTGGGTATTTGGTTTAATTATTATTAAGTCCCTCATGTTATATATCATACTATTTTGTTTATGTTCGATTCTGGTTTTAATATTTACAAATGTTTCATTTCAGTCACTGAATGTTACCTTTCTTTATTTATAATTAGTATTTTAAATTTACTTTGTTTACATTATGGCCAATGTTTTAGTATAAATACTTTAGGTAAAATTATTGTTTGCCCTTACGAATTTCTGTTTTAATTTGTTTTAGTCCCCAATGTTGTTTAAAGTTTATTTTCATTTTCAATACTTATATTGTTTAATATATTAGACATTAGTTTTGGTTTGTTTTTATTTGTGATTCAACCTCTCAAATTTCTATTAATCATATTTTAGTCCCTTAATTACTTATTTTTTGTATTTCATTTTGGTTTGTAATGTTTATTTATTTTTATTTTAGTCATTTATGTATGAATGTATTTTGCATATTATATGGTTATTTGTATTATATAAATAATGTGTTTAATTCCATTTAATATAAATATTTTTATTTCCAATTACATTTATTCTCATTATATTTTTATCTATGTATGAAATATTTGATTTTATTTTCAAGAACACGTATGCGTAGAATGAGCGTGGAAAGTACCACTTGGTCGAAATGGTATGATCTGATACGGCATTTTAACAAATGTGAACTTGAAATAAATATAGTTCATTTTACCAATTAAATTTTGTTTATTCAAATAATTCAATGCGTTTGTTTTGTGGTATTTTATTTTACGTAAATATTGATTTTCAGTTTATATTCGATTCGTATATTTATTAATGAGAGAATATTCTTTTATTGATAAGAAATAGTCGAGTTAGCTTTTCCGATGGAGGATTGCTAATTTCGAGATTTCCTTTCGAGTTAAAGAATTTTCTGTAATTGATTAATTCGAAGCAAATTAATAAATGTTCGATAAATGGATCGTAATTTAACTTTATATTCAATTTATAATTTTTACCATTTACGACAAAGTGTAAGCGACACAATACCAATTTTGGGCGTTGTGGGGTGCTAATCATTCCCCATGCGTAACCGACTTCCGAACCCGTTTTAATCGAATCTTTGTAAACGCAGACCAACTTTTTATCTTAAAAACGATTTTTCTTAAAATTATTTTTAAATGACGTTTTTTGGTATTCGATCTATTTAACCCAAAGGTCGATGGCGACTCACAATCTAATTTTATTCAAATTAATTCCAAAATCACCAAATTTTCTAAATTAAAGACATAATTATTATTCAAAAATAATATTTAATTGTTCTATTTAAAAATTGTTATGACAACATTGATTATTATGTATAAATAATAATTTTTTAGATAATTTTTTATCGATTTTATTATTTAAATAATAATAAAATGGGTAATTTTTTTAGTTATATAGAACTCTCCCAAAGTACGATTCTTCAAGTTTTCATATTTTTAAACTTGTCAGACACGCAATCAAAGCATCCTCCTGTTCTCTAATTCTAGGGTTCTTTCTTTGGCGTTTGATCTCCTAGACAATGACAGAGAGTCAAAAACCTTCCACTCCCAAAATAAAAGTTGAAATTGATAGTGATAGCAATGGTAGTGAAACTATTGATCCCGATCATCAGCATGGCCGTTCTTATACATCTCTCCGCTCTCGTTATCTCGCTGTTAAGAATCTTATGTTCGGTAACTTTGTATCTTCTTTTTATTTACTCTTTTTCTTTGTTTTGGAGTTCTTGTTTCTGTTTGGTTTGAAAGAAAATAAGCGGGAAATCTATTACGTTCTTTTCTTTTTGTTTTACTGTATTTGTAAGCGTTTTATTTGAAAAAGCTTTTGAAAGCAACCGCCAATAAGAATTAAAAAAGCTAAAATTTGTATATACATTGCACTGGTTAAGCGTTTGGCTCAAATAAAAAAAGTGATTTGATCTGAACTTAGTTTCTCTATTTAGTGACTGCTTTAATGTATATTTGGCAGATGAAAGAGATGATATTTCTAGCACTGATTCTGCTAAGTTCAACTCCATTTTTAGTGCAGTAGAGAGCTTACATCAACATGGTATTGTGTTCTGGAATTTTTATTCTATGTAAAAAAACGTTAACTTTTCATCTCTTTGAGTTAATGTATTTCGCTTGTTTTATCTGAAATACAGTTCAGAGACCAAGAGAGCAAATTGCTGATGCGGAGGCACTCTTGGACATTACAAACACATTGCTTACCTCGGTCAAAGCAACAAATGGTGATGGGATTACTGTTACCGATTTCATCAACTCTCTGCTCACTGACTTTGCAAAAGAAAGCAGTAGACAAGACGGCAGAACCTCAATAGATTGGAAGAAGATTGGGAATGAAGTCTCAAATGTTTCCAGGTTCAGTCGTGGATGTCGTACCATGTAATAGCATTCGACTGTAGTTTTCACTCTATAATTTTACACGATCATGTTTTTATCAGTTTTACTCCTTCAGGATTGGGCCTATGGATACACAAATCAAGCAAAGGAAAGCCAATGTTCGAAGAAAAGGCTCAAAACCAGCAGAAGATGAGCAGTCTAAAGAGGTAAGAAATGCAGTTCAAGCTGCATTATCTCATTCTCAAGATGATTTATATAATTAGAATTCGGAGGATTGTGTTTTGTTGTAGGTTGACGATAGTGATGCACAGAAGAGAACAAATACTGATGCCAATATGTCAACCCTGTTTGACATTCTGAGGAAACACAGGATAGTGAGGCTTGAACATCTAGTGATGAATAGGAATTCTTTTGCACAAACAGTGGAGAATCTATTTGCACTATCATTTCTGGTTAAAGATGGGCGTGTTGATATAAAGGTGGATGATAAAGGCTTTCATCTAGTCTGTAAGTTGTGAATCTCTACATTATGTACCCTTTCCAAGCTTTTGTTTATTATTCTCCAACCATTCTTTTCGGTTTTCTCCCTGTTTCTGTTAGCGCCGAAGAATGCTCCGACTGCTACTGCAGTCGCATCGAAAGAGGCTGTTTACAACCACTTTGTCTTCAGATTTGACTACAAGGATTGGAAGGTACTTGTGATTTACAATTGAATGGTTTCATCATTAACTTGCATTTGTCTGAATGTGTTCCTTGGCGCATTTCACAGCTGATGAGAGATTATGTTGAGGTTGGACAGGAGCTTATGCCCCACAGGGATTAAATTGAAGCATCGAGCGGTTTTTACTCGCATACATGTAAGTCTACAATCTGAATCAACAATAGAATCTGCAACACCAGTATGAAAGCTATGGAGGAATCATGACACTATTTTTATGAATAGCTTGTAGGTGAATTTTTTGGTCTAATGAGTTACATTGGGGGCATATTTAGTTGAGTTCATAGGGTAATCATTGTCGAGCTTGATGCTTCTATAATGTTCCCTTCTCTTTTGTTGTTTATACGTTTTACATCGTTTCTGATTTGAAACAACCGCACATATTGAAGTTAATATTGAAGGAAAGATCTGTAAATTCCCTCTATTTAGTCCACTGGGATCAGCATGTGGTACTTAGAAATTTCAGCAAATCTTCATATATGGAATTTAAACTCATTTCTACTGAAAGCAAGCATTTTTATTATTAGAGGTCCAGGTTCGAGTACTAAAAATACAAGTTTTTATTGATAAATGATTGAAAATCTTTAGAACAAATATTATTTTGTAAACACCCTAGATTAATAAAAAAATATTTTTACTAAGGAGTAGTGTTATAAAAAACTATTTTTTATTATACCAAACAATGGAATGAAATACATCAAGCATTATATATCAAAGGAATTAACAAATATAGGAGAATAAATAAATATTTTGATCCATTGTACTAAATTGAACTCACAAGTTATGATGGAGTACTTAAATCTATATTCACCCAAAATATGGAAGAGAAAACGAATGGGCTTGAATGGAAAAATTAAAGCCCAAAAGAAGAAAGATTCTCGATGACGTAAAATAAAATCCAGCCCTTTAGATTTATGGACGCGTATCATCATCAACCCTACCTACCAAATATCTCTCTTTCAACCTCTTCTCCCACTCTTCTCCCCAAAACCCCCCCCCTTCCCAAGCTAGGGTTTATCTTCTTTTTCCTTCTCTCTCTGGGGTTTTACATTCCTCTTTATTCTGTTTTTGGGCCTCAAATTCTTACATTCATTCATCTCTTCTTCTTTTTGGGATCTGGATCTGGATCTGTGATTTTTCATTAAAGTTTTTTTTTGGGGGTTATAAATTTTCATTTAAGTTCTCTAATGGATACTCGTAAAAGAGGAAGTCGTGAAGCTGGGTTCAACGTCAATGGCGGCATCAAGAAATCTAAACCCGGTTTGTCTCTTTTTTATTTTTCTCTCTAAAATTGAAATATATGGTCTTTGTTTCTGATAATATTTACTACCATGGATTAGTGTTAGTAATGTAACTGATTAATCATGTAATTATTAGTGACGAGATTTCATTAAAAGCTAATATAATTAGTTAATAACTTGGATTTTTTTTGGGGGGGGATAATTTGGATTAAAAGAAATTGTAACCGAGTAAACGTAATTAATTAATGTTGTGCAACAGAATTGGAATCTTTATCTACTGGTGTAGCAAGCAAATCGAAGCCATGCACCAAATTTTTCAGGTTAAAATTCTTATACCCATCTAAATAAATATTGATATTCTCCAATTTAAATTCCACTTAACTTCTGTTTTTATCACCTCTCTAATGCTGTAAAAAAATTAACTTTATAATTTGTTAATTTTAATAGTTAAAATTTTGCGATTTTGCTAATTGGATGTGGATATTGAGTTATGGCAGGTACAATACTGTTGTTTGATTATAATCAAGTTAAAGAATAACAGATATTGGCTTCATTTATAGCAATATTGCCGCGTTAGTTGGTGAAAAAGGCAAATTATATCGAAGATGTAGTATTTGTTACAACTTGTAAACTGTATCTAAGATTGAATTCAATGGTAAAATTTTCAATTTTGGCATTGAGTCCATTGCTAAGTTACTCATGTTATAAATCAAAGAATGATGAAATCAAGGTATGATATGTTCATGTTATTTTACAATTTTCTGGGTTGGATTGTTGACCGGCACATTAGTGCTTGTTTGAGAATGGATAATCGATGTAGTATGAAGCTTTAGTAGAGAAAGAAGCTTGGCTTGGCTTTTAAGTATCAACCTTGATATAAAAGCGATGTCGTCCATTCTATGGTTTAATTGCAAACTCTTTTAGGAAACATAACAGGGGACTAGAGTCCTTGGGTTCTTTTTGTTGTTATGGTTTTATGCTATATTTTTGTTGTGTGCTGGCTTTATCTGGGTTTTTGGTCTATTACAATTTCCTGGTTTTCTGGTGTTTTCAATTCAGAGAGACAGCATCTTATTTACCAGTGAAGCATATTTATGTCATGTTATACTGGTAGATTTGTATTTAGCTTTTCTCATGGACTCTTCTAAGCCTTATCTGATCCTATGTTGTTGCAATTGTAGCACTGCTGGTTGCCAATTTGGTGAGAGCTGCCATTTCCTACACTACGTTCCTGGAGGTTACAATGCAGTGGCCCGGATGATGAACCTTGCACCAGCTGTTCCACCAGCTTCAAGAAACATGGCATCAACAGCTGCCACACCACAGGGCTCTGCCTCTGCAGTCAAATCTCGCTTGTGCAACAACTTTAGTAGCCCCGAAGGTTGCAAGTATGGTGACAAATGCCACTTCGCACATGGAGAATGGGAACTTGGCAAACCTATCGTTCCGTCTCATGATGATCCCCATGCCATGGAACCTATTCGTGGTCGTATGGGTGGTTGGATGGAGCCATCACCCCCATCTGGTCCTGTTGCTACATTTGGTGCTTCAGCAACTGCAAAAATTAGTGTGGATGCTTCCCTTGCAGGAGCCATCATTGGGAAGGGTGGTGTGCACTCCAAGCAGATATGTCGTCAAACAGGAGCAAAACTTTCTATTCGGGAGCATGAGTCAGATCCCAGCCTTAGGAACATCGAGCTCGAAGGATCATTTGAACAAATACAAGAAGCCAGTTCCATGGTTAGAGAATTAATCAGCAGCCTAGGACCGGTGCCGGGTCCCGCCAAAACATCTGGTGTGCAGGGTGGTCAAGGACATCCGAGAGGCAACTACAAGACCAAGTTGTGCGACAATTTTGCGAAAGGAAATTGCAATTTTGGAGAAAGATGTCACTTTGCACATGGTGCAGCCGAGTTGCGGAAGTCGGTAATGTGAGGGGTTACTAGTGTGCATTCCAAGTAGTTGATAGCATGAGATATGCAGTCTTTTATGAGTTAGATCCATGCTAGCTGTGCAATACTATCTAGTTGAAGTGATTTGAGTGGAGTTTTACTTTCTTTTTAGTCTGAAATTTTGTGTGCCAGATTGCTATTTTCCCTTTTCTCTCAGTCGCTAATGTAATGTTGTTTTGTTGTAAGCTTAGAGGAGCTAATAGTTTCCCTTTTTTGGTTGGTAGGACCAATAATTAGGTCATTTTGTTACACATTGAGGTATTCTGGTCCAGACATGTTTGATAATTCCATTACAATAATAGTTTGTGGTTCTATATAGCTGTCGAAATGAATTGCCGAAACTTAATTCTGCCGTATACATTCTGAAAACTATTTCAATAGTTTAGGGACCTATCTATAAGACTGTTAATGTTGGTAATAATAATGATTTGTCTACTCATTAATGTGATGCATGTCTAGTTATTTAATTAATAATCTTTTATTGTTTTTATTGCTTAATACTTCTCTTTGCCCATGTATTATGCACAAATTCAAGTTTGAGGTATTATATACTTGTACTTTTAAGGGTAAACTAATATGAGTTATGACCCCCTTTGTTGAGGTTTTGTACATTTTCTCATTCAATTTGAAATACATAATATTTGGTCACATTCGTTTTTATTTAATTAAAATATAGTCATTGAGTGTTAATTATCGTTAGACCTTTAATGGACCGTTGAAGTGGCACGATAAATATATAAAATTAAAAATGGTAAATTACACAAATGGTCATTAATGTTTGAATAAATTTTTGTTTTCCAATATATATTTAAAATATCTTTCTCAGACCAATCGCACTTAAAAATATCAAATTTTCTTTCCAAATTGGATTTGCTCATTGGACAATACATGGAGAGTTATAGCAAAAGTAAACCTCGATGGATTGAATCATATTTTCTTTACTTCCTCAACACTATCTTTCAATACAACTGGAGCAAAAAAGAATGTCTTAAGGACCCGACGAAGATGTAAAAAATATAACTTTAAATATGGAGTAAGCTCTCACAGGCTACACAAATGGTGCCGGATTTTCTTTGCAACAATATTTGGTTCAAATTTTTATAGTTTATACCGACAAATCTTTACTTGTCCAGATCATCATATAGTAGCAAGCTTGAATGTTGAGAAGCTAGTCTCCTTGCTAAGAAACAATTTCTTGCAGGTTGAAAATGACATTTTTGATGAGATAGACTTTCCCACTAGCAAAGTATATACTTCGAACCCTTGTGCTACAACATATGTACTTCATACTATTTATAGATACCGATTAATTTTTTGAACCAGGCGGCTATCTTGTCTCTCGAACCTTTAAGTGGATCTATTTCTGATGCAGGGATATTCAAAGATATCTTCCACTGCGCTAAGTATGGAAAGGGCTTCCTTTGAATCTATGGTTATAGGCGAATCACCTATGCGATTGACTAAGTCCTTGTTTGGGGATCCATCCTTATTTGAGGTGCAAAAGTTCCCTGCAGGAATTGCTATAATCCCATTCAACTTTACCTTTAACTTCAATATTTTCCAGATACTAGAAAATTTTGCTGCAATGACGAGCCGGCTGAAAGCTGGATTGCGTCTACCACATACGAGGTTTGACAATATTTCCTTCTCTCTTGATTTTGATTTGCTATTTATCTTTCTTTTTTGACGTTGAGTGTTTTAGATATTTTTTTTTTGAGAAAAAGATTGAAGGGTGTTATATATGCTATGATTGGTTTTTTTTGTCATATCATTTGCACGGCAGACTCTCATGATCTTCTTTTGTGAATTTCAGAATTATAAAAAATGAAAATTTATTAAAATATTAATAATTATTTGAGTAATTTATTCTTTTTAATTTTACATATTCATTACGTCATATCAGTAATTCGTTAAAGGTTTAGTGACATTTAATCATCAGTGATCATATCTTAATTAAATAAAAACAAATGTGACCAAATATTATATTTTTTGAATTTAGTGAGAAAAGAGTATACACAACCTAAACAAAAGTGATCAATCATGTAGTTTACCCTTTATTTAATATTTATTAAAAGAATATGCTAAAGTACACAATTGGTCCCTTGTCTATAAGGTGTTGTTTTATTAAATCCTTTCACACATGTGATGCTCGAATTTAGAATCTCAAGAAGTAACAAGTCCCTTAACCACTGAGATCGCTTGGTTTGTCCAAAAAGTATAAAAATATATTTAATTGAACCTTCGATTTAAATTTAGTCCTTAAACTTTTGAATATTCCTATTTCATCTTCAAACAATAACTCTCATTCTAAATTAGTCCTTGAACTTATGAACATTCTATTAAACCAATATTTGATTTTGATATAACATTAATTGTTAAATGATTTATATCGTTAAAATTTGCATTTTGCAATGCCATGAAAAATTGTTATAAAATATTTTCAAGTAATTTTTAATTGTGAAAAATAATCTTTATTGTTCTTAAGTCATTATATACTTTAGGTTAAATTACAAATTTCATCACTAAACTTTACTCTCTCTCCTATTTTGCTCATTGAACTTTAAAAGTTTTCAATTTCCTCGTTGAACTTAATACATTGGGTTCTTTTGTCATTGAACTTTACTCTCTCTCCTATTTTGGTCACTCTACCGTTAAATAACTAATGACATTAAAAGTGATATCATTTTAAAAAATAATTTTTTTCACCAAAACAGCGTTGTTTTGCATCTACATACTTTCCATTTTACCGTTTGGATGCTTGGTCTCAATACCCACTTTTCGGTATCAATACCAAAGTTGCATGTGAGCACTTATAGCTCAAATTTAATGATTCCAACGGCTCTAATCCCTCACCAACGACTCCAAACAACTAGAAGTGGATTAGAAGACATAAAAGGGGTTGATATTCAAATAGAGAACAATAGGAAAGATTATTGAAAAATCATACCAACATCAAAAGAGTTTTTAAGATTATTTTTTCATATTCTTTGTAACACACTTATTGAGAACATTATTTATCTTGCTCAAGTATGATTTGGGTAAGTGCTTATTTATTGCAAATACATTTGTCTTTGTGAGGTTTTCTTTTGTTTGCTAAATTTGCAACTCTTATTGTGGAGAGAGTGTAAGCAACATTTTGAAATATGGGTTGTTGTAAGGTTACACAGTGTTCTCAAAGGTTAGCAAATTTAGTTGAGTTGATAAATCCTTAGTGTGGATGCTAAGGTATTGGATGTAAACTGTGGTTGATAAAGTCGAGCTACTCTAAATCATTGTGTAAAACTTTTATTTTTCAATTGCTTCCATACACCATTTTTTTAAAAGGCCACTTCACCCCCTTTTGGCATATTTTAGTTGATCGATAGAGCTGACATATTACAATTTTATCCCCAAACTATGAACCTCATTTTATATTAGTCCCCAAACTTCTAAATCTTTTAATTTTAACCCTAAATTCATCCAAATATATAATTAGTTTCAACCATAATTTAACCTAAATTGTATTTTTTTACAATTTATAATAATATAACTTGATCTAATGATTTTATTAACAAGGGATGTGATTAGTATATGCTTGTAGTTTGAGATAAAATTAAAATATTCAAAAATTTTGGGGATTAATTTAGAATGAAGGTCATAGTTTGGGGATGAAATTGAAATATTCAAAAGTTTAGGACTAATTTAGAATGATAGTCATAGTTTAAGGATGAAATTTAAATGTTTTAAAATTTAGCGACAAACTTAAAATAAGAATTATAATTTGAGGACATGTGATACAATTAACTCTATAAAAATATATTTAATTGAACCTTCCATTTCATAATTACATTACATTAATAAAAATTGTCTCCGACCGTTATCATATTAGATAGTAACTAAAATTATGAAAATTCAAAAGAATATTAAAAGCTATAAATTAAAAATATTTTTATATTTAAAATATATTTATTAAAACATTTTAGAATATTTATTAAAATATTAAAAAAAATTAGAATACTTCAAAAAAAATAACATGTAATAAACATAGTGTTTATATTTTTTTAATAATACAAACTCACGCATTAGCATTTGTTTGGAAATTGGTAAATCGTCGTATTCCTACGTTATCGGAACTTTCAAAATGAGGTTTCAAGTCTACAATTAGGGATGGGCATGTGTAGGGTTGAGTCGGATTTTTGGTCTATCCGACCCGATTCGAAAAATATATACCATACACTCAACCCGACTCGACTTTTAAAGATAAAATCCGAACTCGACTTGACCCGAAATAATAAAAATATTATTTTTATTAAATAAAAAAGTGATTTAATTGAAAAATATAATATATAGAGAGATATTATTGTAATTATACATAAATATATAAGATAAAATTATTTTTTGAGGGCCAGATCATGTCGGATTTTATTTTACCCTAAACTCGAATCTAACCCGACCCGGACATCACATTTAAAAAATCTGATCGAATCGAGCCGGGTCGAAATCCGTCGAGTTTGGGTCTCATGCCCATCCTTACCTACAATCATATTTATGTGTGCTGCGTCAATAAGAGGTTGAAACTCAAGAGCATTTGTTTGTAAAGTGGTCTATTCCACAAATTAGGAATAGTTAAGTATGTTACTATCTAATAACATACCAAAATATCTTATAGCTTGAATCCTCTATTCATATTAATAGGTTAACTTATGCACGATTATTCCTCGTTAAATCAAACAACATATTTATGAGCTAGGTTTAGCCGAGCTTCATAGCCCTGTTGCAGTTGTTAATCTGGCTTGGGAAGAGGGATGGCGGGACATCATTATTAAAATGGATTCCACCATGGTAGACAATCATTACAACAATGCGAGTGGTACGAATTCTACGATTGGTGTGCATCTACAATCTATATGTGACAATTGTTAAGCCTGTAAACGAATCGAACGCATATGAACGGATGTATGTTCATGTTCGTTCATTTAATAAATAAGCGAACATAAACGAACAAAATTTTTTTTGTTCATGTTCGTTCATTAAGGAATATAGCTTGTTCATGTTCGTTCATTTAATAAATAAACGAACATAAACGAACAAAAACATAAACGAA